ATTTGAAAAAACTCATTTGAATAATTTCAAAAAAATGCTCATTCTTAATCTCTATCCAACAATGTCACCAAGCTTCTCAACACATAAAACCCTCATAATGCTCTGCAGCACAATCCCAATACAACACACTAGGGTCATGCTCAGATCCTAATTCTATGATTGGATGGACAACATGTCAGTTCATGCTGCAAAAGCTTTTATTGGTTGGAGGCCGTCCTCTGGAAGTGGTCATAATTACCATGTATGTCTATGGAAAGGGGTGAGGCCTACGAGCCTCCTAGGTTTTGTATTGAAGTCAATGTAGCCAGAGGAGGACGGAAGCTGTCCTCCGGCTACCCCAGACAGTGCTGTTGAAGTTACTGTAGACCTTCATTGCAAAACAGTGTATTTTAATCAATTATTTGGTGACATATGAATATATTTAGTATAGTTATATCTAAAAGTTTCACTATTTTTATTTTAATGAAATTTCACTGAGGAGGATGGTCCTCCCCTTCCTCCACTGTGGAGCCTCCACTGAAAGGGATAGCCCTTAACAAGATGGAGGCCCCAACTTGCAGGGAGGCGCCCAAATAACAAAGAGGTGTTTTCGCAATACTCTGGCTTTATCCAACAAATGTGTAACGCGCTACTGTAGACTGGAAGAGCTACGGGTGGAAACCAAGCTCTAATGCGAGACAATCTCAGTTGCCGCTGACCTTAAGCATAAAGGCGGGATTTGGGTAACACGGTTACCTAGGAGAACCCTGGGTCAAACTGTAGGCACGAATAACAGGGCGTGCAGCCCACTCACTCACTTTGCAGGTGTAAAAGCGGTTTAGAAGGAGAGGTATTACATCTCCACGCTTTCCAGCGCCTCAAGAGACTGCCGTGAGGAAGCATCAAGCACAACAGACATGCCCCAAGACGGGTCTAAAGCCTTGAAGACTGGAGGTATGCGACGCACACCCTTTATCAACAACATAACAGAGGGTGTTCTACTGTGTAACTGTCGAGGCCTGTATTACAGGCAGTGGAGATCTAAACAGACCTTGGCAGTAGAGATCTTCCCTCTGTCCAAAAAGGTCCTGCAATGAAGCATAGAAACCTTGGATACAGAGCATTTAAGGAATGATCTGTGTAGGTCACACCACTTCTCAAAACTAGGATTTTGCTGTGCTTAGCTCTATTCCGTTTCTTTTTATCCCCCCCCCCAAATAAATCCCTAGTCCTTGCCGATGACAAGCATAACCATAACATGATGCAGCCACCACCATTCTTGAAAATATGAAGAGAGGTACTCAGTGATGTGTTGTGTTTGCCCCAAACATAACGCTTGTATTCAGAACAAAAAGTTCATTTCTATGACAATTTTTTTGCAGTATTACTTTAGATGAATGTTTTGGACATTTTTTATTCTGTACAGGCTTCCTTCTTTTCACTACGTCATTTATGTTAGTATTGTGGAGTAACTACAATGTTGTTGATCCGTCCTCAGTTATCTCCTATCACAGCCACTAAACTCTGTAACTGTTTTAAAATAACCATTGGCTTCATGGTAAAATCCCTGAGCGGTTTCCTTCCTCTTCGGCAACTGATTTAGGAAGGGCGCCAGATTCAACCAGCTAGCTAGCCTTACGGTGTGGGCTAACCAAGTCTCGATAACTAGTTTTGTGATGCTAGCTACCACCGGAGACTGAGGAGTAGAAAATAAATGATACTCGAAGCAAAGCGTATATTTCGGTCAGTACTCAACACTATCGACAGGAGCGGAGGGTCTACATTCGGCAGCGTTAACCTCACGGTTCGCCTAAGAACAGTTCAGTTGGAAGACAGCAGTGCTAACCTCACGGTTGACATGAGAACAGTTCAGTTGGAAGACAGCAGTGCTAACCTCACGGTTGACCTGAGAACAGTTCAATAGGAAGACAGGGATCTAGTCATGCTGAGGAGAGCTTCAGGAGTGTAGTGATCTCTTCCGCAAAGAGGCAAGTGGTGCCTTATAAGGAGGAGAGGGGCTCACCTTATTCGCCACTCGACCTGTCGGTCTCCAACAGACGTTGTGTGATTGGTTCTTCGAGCCGTCAGTGACCCGCTGAACGAATCCCATAGTGAGACATCGAAACGAGTATTTGAAATAGAATTGCAACCCTTTTATGGCACCACCTCTCACTGGAACACCTTTATGTTATTTTGTATTGTGCTGGCTCGGCCTGCTGCAAGTAAAAAGAGGGGTTTTATCCAAGAAAATGAAAGAAGCATGTTATGCCATTCCTGATCAAGAGGAAAGGATTTTTAAAAATCAGGGACTGGACATTTAGTTGGGGTGTTAACAATGCAAAATCGACATCTAGTGGTAGGATTTCACAATTGCATGGAGAATGTCTGACAGTGACCCCTGATTAAATAGACAGTATGTTGTATAAAAACATTTCAACTATAGTATATAGCCTCAACATGATAGTATTGATTGTTGAGTATAAGGTTGTGTGTGAGCTCTTGGAAGTTCAGCAACTTCAATTTCAACAGCACTACCCGAGCCCAGTGCTTGCTGGCTTATTTTCCAAGTAACAGCATTGTGCTGAGATAGAGCTCTCCCACTGGGCACACGCTGGTTGAATCAACGTTGTTTCCACGTCAATTAAATTAAATTACGCTGAACCAACGTGGAAAAGACGTTGAATTGACGTCTGTGCACAGTGGGCTTCAATTTCCCTAAGGGAGATGTAAATTAGGACTAACCGAGGATTAACCTTTACAGTGTGGGAGAATAATCGCTCAGTCTCATTTGTCATTTTGGGGCCAATAAAGGAAATCATGCTTCTAATCGACAGTATTTAGTACTGTTTTCCTGAACTGAAACAGACATGGCCTCACCAGTGTTGTTTTGGTAATAATTAACTAGAAGGCCTACGTATATGTCTAATATCAATATGGTAATCATAACTAGCCTATACTCTTCTTTGAGAGCAGGTGCAGTGATATAGATGGCAAAAGGCATGAGACCTGGGTTCATATACTATTTCAAATAATTTATAGTACTTTATGTGGGCTTGAATAAGCTTTCCTGGTGCAATGGAACCAATAGAATAGTCGCAAACCCGCCCATCTGGCACTCCAGGCAGGCTAAAAACAAACGCTCAAAGTAGCTATTTGAAAGAGATTTTGAAATGATGCCCTTAATCTACTTCCCCAAAGTCAGATGAACTCGTGGAAACCATTTTTATGTATCTGATGTTGTCATTTAAGACATTAAATCATATTATCTCAAGCTTCTTAGTGTTACAGATCTATTTTGATTGATTATTTATTGGAAGTTTGTTTTATCCATGTTTTAAAGTCTGTCAGTTTATATTGACCTAAGCCAAGGTCAATGCCCTTATCTGGTCAAAGAATAAACTAGAAGAGACATAAATGTTTATAAAAAGGTGAATTTGTGTATGTTTTGTTTGTTTGTAGGTATTATAAATGATTCATAAAACTACTTTCAAACTTGAAAGAGCGAGATTACATGGTATTCTGGTCGCTTTTAAAACTGTTTATTATTATTTTATTTTTTTATTCCATGGCAGAGACTAGTCTAGCCCACGTTTCCTACTGTGTGGGTTGCTACAATGTTTCCTGCTGTGTGGGTTGCTACATTGTTTCCTACTGTGTAGGTTGCTACAATGTTTCCTGCTGTGTGGGTTGCTACATTGTTTCCTGCTGTGTGGGTCGCTACAATGTTTTGTTTTGATGATTTCTACAATGTTTAATTAGTTTAATTTGGAGAACAGCAAAAACAAGCAAAAATGACCCTAGCCATTAGCACATTGGTTGCTGTAGCTTCATTCACCTCAGTCGATCTACAAACACATAGCCTATTAGCTATACAATTTTTTTTGTAGTTTTACAGCTAATTTCCTGCAATTCTATAGATTTTGCATTGGGGTGGGGAGAATTGTTGGCAGATTCTACACATTTTGCCATAATCTTTGCCATGTTAATAAGACATCTGAGTGAGACTGATCAACAAAATCAATGGGGGCCCGCTGGAGGTCAGCGCCCCTGGGCACCCCCCACTGATGACGTGTTTTTGTTATTCTAAAAAATAAGGTCCAGACCTCGGTGTCCTCATACTGTATGTAGCTAAGCCCTGTTTACAGACTATAATCAAAGACAGTACAGTATGAAGATATGCTAAAACTGCTTCTCCGATAGATATCCCGATCACACTTGTAGGCGATGTCACGGCGACTATGGCTAACTAAAGTCATGCATAGGAACACGTCATCGTCTCGCGCCAAACTGCGAAAGTTCAGGCCGTCAAATCAAAGGCACTTGTTCGATATAAAGTTGCTTTTGACGAAAATGAAAACGTGTCAGCTTGTCACGTTCACGAGTTTGGAGTAATACCATGTTCTACTACTTAAAACATTGGCACGAATCTAGGCTGTGCTTTTAGATTTCAAGAAAATTAACAACTAAGGAAGAATTTTTCACTTCTATCATTGACCTCTCAAACTCAAAACCCCGGCCTTGTCTGTTTCGCCAGCGTTCCCGGAAGTCTCGCGATGTTCCGCCTCTGGGTTTAGAAACTGTGTGCAATAATAGCTTTCATTTAGAGGAAGTCATTTTTATGTGAATGAACAACACACTAGTATCTCATTACTAAATGGTTTGTCTTTATTTCATCACAGTTGCTTTCATCACAGTTGCTTGTTATTTTGCTTGAATAGGGAGCATTGTGAAATTCGCACACACACACACACACACACACACACACCGAGGAGTTGACCTATTTCTCTGTAGAGCCGACGACAGTCACACGAAGCAACCTGGAGGCAATTTCTGTTGCAGATGCAAGTAGCAAGTGACATGATCTCAAGCAACTTTGCTGATACACGAAGCAACTTAAACGCGATTGAAATTGACTCACGAAGCAACCCAGATGCAACTCTGTTGCCAGCAACAAAAATTGCATTACAGGTTGTTTCGTGTGACATCGACTTTAACTTCAGACAGTATTTAGATAACAGTGAATGAATAGCAGCCTTGTAGACCAATCAGATTATATCTCTACACATGAGAAACATTACAACATCCTGTATTCCGAGGCCAACAAAGTGAAAGTGACGTGGAGGAAACGGGTAGAGAGGAATCGGAGCAGTCACTTGCATGTTGTACCTGTGTGACCAGGCTGAAATGACAGTGCGCTGTGTTGGTGTCCCGTTGCACCTGTGGCTGAGTAGACTATATAAGCAGCGCAATGCAAACCGGTTGTATAAATCAGTGTGTGCCGCTGTCTACTCCTGCAGAATTGGTTGAAGAGCGAGATTGGCTGCTGCAGATCGTGACATTTTGCTCCTTTTCGATTATTTGATCAAGCAAAACATATTTTTAGCAATAATGGGTGTTATGGTTTCGCAACTCTTCTCTCGTTTCTTCGAGAAGAAACAGATGAGAATTCTGATGGGTAAGACTTATTTACAATTTTGTTAATGACATTGTGTTATTATTACAATGTTGCAATGTATTTGTTACAATGTGTGAAAACATTTACTTTGTTTGATTGATTTTACATAGGCCTATATTATACGCATATTATTAATATTACTTAGGTTTTAAAATGATCCATATTGTTATCACAGTTGGGTTAGATGCTGCAGGGAAGACCACAGTCCTGTACAAACTAAAACTTGGAGAAGTTGTCACTACTATCCCCACTATTGGTAAGCATTGATTGATATATAGGGTATATGCACTGATTGACAACCTGCGCTTCATATATGTATTTGACCCAGGACTGCTAGACAGAGCATAGCTGAATGTCCTTTGTGCTGATCACCATAGGGTTCAATGTGGAGACGGTTGAGTACAAGAACATCAGCTTCACGGTGTGGGATGTAGGTGGTCAGCACGTCATCAGACCTCTGTGGAAGCATTACTACCAGAACACTCAGGTAGGACTAACCCTAACACTCTCAACTAACTCTAACCCTAACAATCTCAACTAACCCTAACCCTAACAGCCTCAACTAACACTAACATCCTCAACTGACCCTAATAGCCTCAACTAACCCTAACCCTAACAGTCTCAACTAACCTTAACCTTCTCAACTAAGCCTAACCCTAACACTCTCAACTAACCCTAACTCCAACAGTCTCAACTAACCCTAACAGCCTCAACTAACCCTAACAGCCTCAACTAACCCTAACAGCCTCAACTAACCTTAACAGTCCCCCCTAACCCTAACAACCTCAACTAACCCCAACAGCCTCAACTAAACCTAACCCAAACAGCCTTAAATATGGGATCCATTTCATATCCAGTCAATTCAAAAAATGAACTCAAATTCTAATTTTCCTCATTCCTTAAAAGCGTGTGTCTGTGTTCCAATGTCTTCATCCAGGGTCTTATATTTGTGGTAGACAGCAACGATCCTGAGAGGATAAATGATGCTACAGAGGAACTACAGAACATGGTGAGTCATCTGTCCTTCCATTCATCTTTCCACACTTTCCTATAGCAACTCTTAAGTTTGCTGTTGGCCACCGGAGAGGAGCGTAGTAACGGTATAGTGTGACCTTTCTGATTACCTACAAGGAATGTAATAATACAGTAATATGACTGTTCTAATAGATATAGAAGAGAGTGTTTTCCTGTTTAATGTGACTGTTCTGATTCCCTGTGTTCTGTGTTATTGATCCTCCACACAGGATGCAACCACAGATAAAACAATGAGACAGATATTTCACCGGATGTATAAATGTGAAGCATCCGCTTAGCGTTTCCACTCACTACCAAATATGGTAGTGAGAGGAAGCCCACTGGCCGGCAGTGGGAGAAGATGGAACGACATGGATTTTGGCCGACATTCTGCAAATTTTCTCATCGATTAAACATTTGATCTTAATACAGTTTTCTGTTCCCAATACTAAAATCTGTTATGAACAGAGTGGAATAAGTTTTGTAGACTTTACCCTTTGCAAAAGTTGTTAAATATTGCGTTGTTTAGAAGGAGTGCAAAGGCGAATTTAGTTATTGCACACGTGCACTTCACAGAGGAGGCGTTCCCTAACGGAAATATGCAGATTTATGCTAGAACGCGTGCCCACCTCCTTGCTTGTTCTACCCACTATGACTCATTTGTTCCCACTGGAAACGACAGGCTGTGGTCTATCTTGGTTTAGTTGTAAAAATAATTGATGCAACATTACAGAGAAAAGTGTAATAACTCAGTGAGTGCTGTGGCTGTTCTGATTCCCTGTGTTCTGTGCTGTTAACCCACAGCTTGAAGAGGACCAGCTGAGAGATGTAGTTCTGCTGGTGTTCGCCAACAAACAGGACCTTCCCAACGCCATGTCTGTCAGTGACATCACAAATAAACTGGGACTGAGAAAACTTCAACTGAGTACTCCTGTAAGTATGACCATTTAGAATCTCTAAGGTTTCACAAGAGAATTCTAACTAGCGTTAGCACAATGACTGGAAGTCTATGGTATCTACTAGCATGCTAGCAGTTAACATGCTAGCGGTTACCATAGACTTCCAGTCATTGCGCTAACACTAGTTAGCAATTGCGCTGACGCTAATTAGCAACTTCCTTCAAACTGCATGCAGAGACATAAAAATGGTATCCACAAGTTCACCTGACTCTGGGGAAGTAGATAAAGGACTTAATTCCCCAAATCCTGATGTTCCCTTTAAATGTTAAACATGCTACAATGCGCCTCGGATTGAATCCCTGCCCAGATTTGGTAAATAATGCACTCTGACTGTTTGTCCTCTCTCCTCAGTGGTTTGTCCAGGCTACCTGTTAATGACTGACTGTTTCTCTTCTCTCCTCAGTGGTTTGTCCAGGCTACCTGTTAATCACTGACTGTTTGTCCTCTCTCCTCAGTGGTTTGTCCAGGTTACCTGTTAATGACTGACTGTTTGTCCTCTCTCCTCAGTGGTTTGTCCAGGCTACCTGTTAATGACTGACTGTTTCTCTTCTCTCCTCAGTGGTTTGTCCAGGCTACCTGTGCGACCATGGGTTCAGGTCTGTTGGAGGGACTGGACTGGTTGGCTGACCAGCTTTCCAAACGCTAACTAGCTGAGTTGGCTCCGGGGTGAAGTTTCCCCTAGGTACAGATCTAGGATCAGCTTCCCCTCCCCCAATCCTAACCTTAACCATTAGTGGGGGAAATTTAAAACTGACCAGATCAGTGTCTAGGGTCAACTTCACCCTATAACAGCTGAGCTGAGGCCTCCTTAAGAATGACCAAGACACAACGTTTACTGAAGGACAACCATACATTCAGAACAAAAGTTAGAAGTGCCTTTCTGAAAAGTTTCCATTTGTTTTTATTTTTTTCTAATGCACTCTAATGTATTGCATAGATTGTAACATGGAAAGTTATAAATGTTTTATATTTAAATTATTTTATCACTGAATGAATGTAAGCAGATTCTTTATCAATCCCCCTGTATTTATTTCCTGACTTCCGATACCTCACTACCTCTAATAAAATCATGGTGTGTAAATGTATCTGCAGTCATTTTCTTTGTGGGTGTGGTCACTCTGCAGATGGAAGTGGAACAATTCAGAAACAACAAATACAAGACAATTATTTCAGTAACTTGTGATGGAGAGCAAGACTAAAGGTCATCGGGGACATATTATTTGGAAACATATTAACGATGCAATATCGACATCTAGTGGTAGGATTTCACAATTGCATGGAGAATGTCTGACAGCGACCTTTGATTAAATAAACAGTATGATGTATAAAAACATTTAAACTACAGTATATAGTTTATTTTCCAATAAACAGCATTGTGCTGAGATAGCGATCTCCCACTGGGCACACACTGGTTGAATCAACGTTGTTTCCACATAATTTCAATGAAATTATGCTGAACCAACGTGGAAAAGACGTTGAATTGACGTCTGTGCACAGTGGGCTTCAATTTCCCTAAGGGAGATGTAAATTAGGACTAACCGAGGATTAACCTTTACAGTGTGGGAGAATAATCGCTCAGTCTCATTTGTCTTTTTGGGTCCAATAAAGGAATAAAGGAAATCATGCTTCTAATCGACAGTATTTAATACTGTTTTCCTGAACCGAAACATACATGGCCTCACAAGTGTTGTTTTGGTAATTATTAACTAGTTGGCCTACTACGTACAGTGCATTCGGAAAGTATTCATTCATTTTGTTACTTTACAGCCTTATTCTAAAATTGATTAAATTAAATGTTATCCTCATCAATCTACATACAATACTCCATAATGATTAAGCGAAAACAGGTTTTTAGAAATCTTAGCACATTTATTAAAAATAAAAAACAGAAATACTTTATTTACATAAGTATTCAGACCCTTTGATATGAGACTCGAAATTGAGCTCAGGTGCATTCTGTTTCCATTGATCATCCTTGAGATGTTTCTACAACTTGACTGGAGTCCACCTGTGGTAAATTAAATTCATTGGACATGATTTGGAAAGGCACCACCTGTCCATATAAGGTCCCACAGTTGACAGTGCATGTCAGAGCAAAAACCAAGCCATGAGGTCGAAGGAATTGTCCGTACCGCTCCGAGACAGGATTGTGTCGAGGCACAGATCTGGGGAAGGGTACCAAAAAATGTCTGCAGCATTGAAGGTCCCCAAGAACACAGTGGCCTCCATCATTCTTAAATGGAAGAAGTTTGGAACCACCAAGACTCCTAGAGCTGGCCGCCCAGCCAAACTGAGCAATCTGGGGAGAAGAGCCTAGGTCAGAGAGGTGATCAAGAACCCGGTGGTCACTGAAAGAGCTCCAGAGTTCCTCTGTGGAGATGGGAGAACCTTCCAGAAGGACAACCATCTCTGCAGCACTCCACCAATCAGGGCTTTATGGTAGAGTGGCCAGACGGAAGCCACTCCTCAGTAAAAGACACATGACAACCCGCTTGGAGTTTGCCAAAAGGCACATAAAGGACTCTCAGACCATGAGAAACAAGATTCTCTGGTCTGATGAAACCAAGATTGAACTCTTTGGCCTGAACGTCAAGCGTCACGTCTGGAGGAAACCTGGCACCATCTAAAATTTCTAAAAAACAGTTTTTGCTTTGTCATTATGGGGTATTGTGTGTAGATTGATGAAGGGAAAAAAACAAATTAATCAAATTTAGAATAAGGCTGTAACAAAATGTGGAAAAGGTCAAGGGGTCTGAAAACTTTCCAAATGCACTGTATCTGATGTTGTAAAATAAGACATTACATTATATCATATTATCTCAAGCTTCTTATTGTTACAGATCGATTTTGATTGATTATTTATTGGAAGTTTGTTTTATCCATGTTTTAAAGTCTGTCAGTTTATATAGACCTAAGCCAAGGTCAACTCCCTTATCTGGTCAGAGAACAGACTAGAAGAGACACAAATGTTTATAAAAAGGTGAATTTGTGTATGTTTTGTTTGTTTGTAGGCATGATAAATTATTCATAAAACTACTTCGAAACTGGAAAGAGATTACATGGTATTCAGGTCGCTTTTGACACTGTTTGTTTTTTATATATTTTTTATTCCATGGCAGAGACTAGTCTAGCCCACGTTTCCTACTGTGTGGGTTGCTACAATGTTTCCTGCTGTGTGGGTTGCTACAATGTTTCCTACTGTGTGGGTTGCTACAATGTTTCCTGCTGTGTAGGTTGCTACAATGTTTCCTACTGTGTAGGTTGCTACAATGTTTCCTGCTGTGTAGGTTGCTACAATGTTTCCTGCTGTGTGGGTTGCTACATTGTTTCCTGCTGTGTGGGTTGCTACATTGTTTCCTGCTGTGTGGGTTGCTACAATGTTTCCTGCTGTGTGGGTTGCTACATTGTTTCCTACTGTGTAGGTTGCTACAATGTTTCCTGCTGTGTGGGTTGCTACATTGTTTCCTACTGTGTAGGTTGCTACAATGTTTCCTGCTGTGTGGGTTGCTACAATGTTTCCTACTGTGTGGGTTGCTACAATGTTTTGTTTTCATGATTTCTACAATGTTTAATTAGTTTAATTTGGAGAACAGCAAAAACATGCAAAAATGACCCCAGCCATTAGAACAATGGTTGCTGTAGCTTTCACTTCAGTCGATATACAAACACATAGCCTATTAGCTATATACTTTTTTTTGTAGTTTTACAGCTAATTTCCTGCAATTCTATAGATTTTGCATTGGGGTGGGGATAAATGTTGGCAGATTTAAAGCTAATTTCCTACAATTCTACACATTCTGCCATAATTTTTGCCATGTTAATAAGACATCTGAGTGAGACTGATCAACAAAATCAATGGGGGCCCGCTGGAGGTCAGCGCCCCTGGGCACCCCACACTGATGACGTGTTTTTGTTATTCTAAAAAATAAGGTCCAGACCTCGGTGTCCTCATACTGTATGTAGCTAAGACCTAGTGACAGACTATAATCAAAGACAGTACAGTATGAAGATATGCTAAAACTGCTTCTCCGATAGATATCCCGATCACACTTGTAGGCGATGTCACGGCGACTTTGGCTAACTAAAGTCATGCATAGGAACACGTCATCGTCTCGCGCCAAACTGCGAAAGTTCAGGCCGTCAAATCAAAGGCACTTGTTCGATATAAAGTTGCTTTTGACGAAAATGAAAACGTGTCAGCTTGTCACGTTCACGAGTTTGGAGTAATACCATGTTCTACTACTTAAAACATTGGCACGAATCTATGCTGTGCTTTTAGATTTCAAGAAAATTAACAACTAAGGAAGAATTTTTCACTTCTATCATTGACCTCTCAAACTCAAAACCCCGGCCTTGTCTGTTTCGCCAGCGTTCCCGGAAGTCTCGCGATGTTCCGCCTCTGGGTTTAGAAACTGTGTGCAATAATAGCTTTCATTTAGAGGAAGTCATTTTTATGTGAATGAACAACACACTAGTATCTCATTACTAAATGATTTGTCTTTATTTCATCACAGTTGCTTTCATCACAGTTGCTTGTTATTTTGCTTGAATAGGGAGCATTGTGAAATTCGCACACACACACACACACACACCGAGGAGTTGACCTATTTCTCTGTAGAGCCGACGACAGTCACACGAAGCAACCTGGAGGCAATTTCTGTTGCAGATGCAAGTAGCAAGTGACATGATCTCAAGCAACTTTGCTGATACACGAAGCTACTTAAACGCGATTGAAATTGACTCACGAAGCAACCCAGATGCAACTCTGTTGCCAGCAACAAAAATTGCATTACAGGTTGTTTCGTGTGACATCGACTTTAACTTCAGACAGTATTTAGATAACAGTGAATGAATAGCAGCCTTGTAGACCAATCAGATTATATCTCTACACATGAGAAACATTACAACATCCTGTATTCCGAGGCCAACAAAGTGAAAGTGACGTGGAGGAAACGGGTAGAGAGGAATCGGAGCAGTCACTTGCATGTTGTACCTGTGTGACCAGGCTCAAATGACAGTGCGCTGTGTTGGTGTCCCGTTGCACCTGTGGCTGAGTAGACTATATAAGCAGCGCAATGCAAACCGGTTGTATAAATCAGTGTGTGCCGCTGTCTACCCCTGCAGAATTGGTTGAAGAGCGAGATTGGCTGCTGCAGATCGTGACATTTTGCTCCTTTTGGATTATTTGATCAAGCAAAACATATTTTTAGCAATAATGGGTGTTATGGTTTCGCAACTCTTCTCTCGTTTCTTCGAGAAGAAACAGACGAGAATTCTGATGGGTAAGACTTATTTACAATTTTGTTAATGACATTGTGTTATTATTACAATGTTGCAATGTATTTGTTACAATGTGTGAAAACATTTACTTTGTTTGATTGATTTTACATAGGCCTATATTATACGCATATTATTAATATTACTTAGGTTTTAAAATGATCCATATTGTTATCACAGTTGGGTTAGATGCTGCAGGGAAGACCACAGTCCTGTACAAACTAAAACTTGGAGAAGTTGTCACTACTATCCCCACTATTGGTAAGCATTGATTGATATATAGGGTATATGCACTGATTGACAACCTGCGCTTCATATATGTATTTGACCCAGGACTGCTAGACAGAGCATAGCTGAATGTCCTTTGTGCTGATCACCATAGGGTTCAATGTGGAGACGGTTGAGTACAAGAACATCAGCTTCACGGTGTGGGATGTAGGTGGTCAGCACGTCATCAGACCTCTGTGGAAACATTACTACCAGAACACTCAGGTAGTACTAACCCTAACACTCTCAACTAACTCTAACCCTAACACTCTCAACTAACCCTAACCCTAACAGTCTCAACTAACCTTAACCTTCTCAACTAAGCCTAACCCTAACACTCTCAACTAACCCTAACTCCAACAGTCTCAACTAACCCTAACAGCCTCAACTAACCCTAACAGCCTCAACTAACCCTAACAGCCTCAACTAACCTTAACAGTCCCCCCTAACCCTAACAACCTCAACTAACCCCAACAGCCTCAACTAAACCTAACCCAAACAGCCTTAAATATGGGATCCATTTCATATCCAGTCAATTCAAAAAATGAACTCAAATTCTAATTTTCCTCATTCCTTAAAAGCGTGTGTCTGTGTTCCAATGTCTTCATCCAGGGTCTTATATTTGTGGTAGACAGCAACGATCCTGAGAGGATAAATGATGCTACAGAGGAACTACAGAACATGGTGAGTCATCTGTCCTTCCATTCATCTTTCCACACTTTCCTATAGCAACTCTTAAGTTTGCTGTTGGCCACCGGAGAGGAGCGTAGTAACGGTATAGTGTGACCTTTCTGATTACCTACAAGGAATGTAATAATACAGTAATATGACTGTTCTAATAGATATAGAAGAGAGTGTTTTCCTGTTTAATGTGACTGTTCTGATTCCCTGTGTTCTGTGTTATTGATCCTCCACACAGGATGCAACCACAGATAAAACAATGAGACAGATATTTCACCGGATGTATAAATGTGAAGCATCCGCTTAGCGTTTCCACTCACTACCAAATATGGTAGTGAGAGGAAGCCCACTGGCCGGCAGTGGGAGAAGATGGAACGACATGGATTTTGGCCGACATTCTGCAAATTTTCTCATCGATTAAACATTTGATCTTAATACAGTTTTCTGTTCCCAATACTAAAATCTGTGAGTGGAATAAGTTTTGTAGACTTTACCCTTTGCAAAAGTTTTTAAAAATCGCATTGTTTAGAAGGAGTGCAAAGGCGAATTTAGTTATTGCGCACGTGCACTTCACAGAGGAGGCGTTCCCTAACGGAAATATGCAGATTTATGCTAGAACGCGTGCCCACCTCCTTGCTTGTTCTACCCACTATGACTCATTTGTTCCCACTGGAAACGACAGGCTGTGGTCTATCTTGGTTTAGTTGTAAAAATAATTGAAGCAACATTACAGAGAAAAGTGTAATAACTCAGTGAGTGCTGTGGCTGTTCTGATTCCCTGTTTTCTGTGCTGTTAACCCACAGCTTGAAGAGGACCAGCTGAGAGATGTAGTTCTGCTGGTGTTCGCCAACAAACAGGACCTTCCCAACGCCATGTCTGTCAGTGACATCACAAATAAACTGGGACTGAGAAAACTTCAACTGAGTACTCCTGTAAGTATGACCATTTAGAATCTCTAAGGTTTCACGAGAGAATTCTAACTAGCGTTAGCACAATGACTGGAAGTCTATGGTATCTACTAGCATGCTAGCAGTTAACATGCTAGCGGTTACCATAGACTTCCAGTCATTGCGCTAACACTAGTTAGCAATTGCGCTGATGCTAATTAGCAACTTCCTTCAAACTGCATGCAGAGACATAAAAATGGTATTCACGAGTTCACCTGACTCTGGGGAAGTAGATAAAAGGCTTAATTCCCCAAATCCTGATGTATCCCTTTAAATGTTAAACATACTACAATGCGCCTCAGATTGAATCCCTGCCCAGATTTGGTAAATAATGCACTCTGACTGTTTGTCCTCTCTCCTCAGTGGTTTGTCCAGGCTACCTGTTAATGACTGACTGTTTCTCTTCTCTTCTCAGTGGTTTGTCCAGGTTACCTGTTAATGACTGACTGTTTTAATGACTGACTGTTTGTCCTCTCTCCTCAGTGGTTTGTCCAGGTTACCTGTTAATGACTGACTGTTTCTCTTCTCTCCTCAGTGGTTTGTCCAGGTTACCTGTTAATGACTGACTGTTTGTCCTCTCTCCTCAGTGGTTTGTCCAGGTTACCTGTTAATGACTGACTGTTTGTCCTCTCTCCTCAGTGGTTTGTCCAGGCTACCTGTTAATGACTGACTGTTTGTCTTCTCTCCTCAGTGGTTTGTCCAGGCTACCTGTTAATGACTGACTGTTTCTCTTCTCTCCTCAGTGGTTTGTCCAGGTTACCTGTTAATGACTGACTGTTTGTCCTCTCACCTCAGTGGTTTGTCCAGGTTACCTGTTAATGACTGACTGTTTCTCTTCTCTCCTCAGTGGTTTGTCCAGGTTACCTGTTAATGACTGACTGTTTGTCCTCTCTCCTCAGTGGTTTGTCCAGGCTACCTGTTAATGACTGACTGTTTCTCTTCTCTCCTCAGTGGTTTGTCCAGGCTACCTGTGCGACCATGGGTTCAGGTCTGTTGGAGGGACTGGACTGGTTGGCTGACCAGCTTTCCAAACGCTAACTAGCTGAGTTGGCTCCGGGGTGAAGTTTCCCCTAGGTACAGATCTAGGATCAGCTTCCCCTCCCCCAATCCTAACCTTAACCATTAGTGGGGGAAATTTAAAACTGACCAGATCAGTGTCTAGGGTCAACTTCACCCTATAACAGCTGAGCTGAGGCCTCCTTAAGAACGACCAAGACACAACGTTTACTGAAGGACAACCATACATTCAGAACAAAAGTTAGAAGTGCCTTTCTGAAAAGTTTCCATTAGTTTTTATTTTTTTCTAATGCACTCTAATGTATTGCATAGATTGTAACATGGAAAGTTATAAATGTTTTATTTTTAAATTATTTTATCACTGAATGAATGTAAGCAGATTCTTTATACCTCACTACCTCTAATAAAATCATGGTGTGTAAATGTATCTGCAGTCATTTTCTTTGTGGGTGTGGTCACTCTGCAGATGGAAGTGGAACAATTCAGAAACAACAAATACAATACATTTGTTTCAGTAACTTCCCTCGTAATCCCTGAAGGGTCTGTGTGATGGAGAGCAAGACTAAAACTCACGTGTACATATTATTTGCGAACATTAGAAAATGTTTATGTTTAAACTTAGTCTCCTTCTCAAAATGTGCATCAGCCAATTAAAATCGTTGACGTAGTTGCACGTGATCAAACGCTATATGTTAGCTGCTCCCATCAGATAACCTGGCAGACTTAGCCAGAGAGGAACAGTTAAAGAAAGATGCCCAACTCGGCTGAAAATCTAGCTCCCTCCAGCAGGTGGCGTGTTTCAATTTTTTCGCCCACTAAGTAAGGAGTTTTTGTATGGAGGTCAATGAGTGTCTAATTTGGCCAACAACAAAAATGTATGGCTTATTTGCTCTGTGGGGTTTATTTAATTGAATAGAAGTTTCATAACGCTTAGGTTGTTACGAGTGTACTGTTAGTGAGCATTTCTCCTTTGCCAAGATAATCCATCCACCTGACAGGTGTGGCATATCAATAATAATAATAATAATATGCCATTTAGCAGACGCTTTTATCCAAAGCGACTTACAGTCATGCGTGCATACATTTTTTTTGTGTATGGGTGGTCCCGGGGATCGAACCCACTACCTTGGCATTACAAGCGCCGTGCTCTACCAGCTGAGCTACAGAGGACCACATACTAACAAGAAGCTGATTCAACAGCGTGATCATTACACAGGTGCACCTTGTGCTGGAGACAATAAAAGGCCAATCTAAAATGTGCAGTTTTGTCACACAACAGATGTCTCAAGTTTTGATGGAGCATGCAATTGGCATGCTGACTGCAGGAATGTCAACCAGAGCTGTTGCCAGATAATTTTATGTTAATTTCTCTACCATAAGCCGCCTCCAACGTCATTTTAAAGAATTTGGCTATACGTCCAACCGGGCTCACAACCACAGACCACGTGTATGGTGTCGTGTGGGTGAGCGGTTTTTGCTGATGTCAACATTGTGAGCAGAGTGCCCCATGGTGGCGGTGGGGTTATGGTATGGGCAGGCATAAGATACGGAAAACAAACACAATTGCATTTTATCAATGGCAATTTGAATGCACAGAGATACCGTGACGAGATCCTGAGGCCCTTTGTCGTACCATTCATCTGCCGCCATCACCTCATGTTTCAGCATGAAAATGCATGGCCCCATGTCTCTACACAATTCCTGGAAGCTGAAAATATTCCAGTTTTTCCATGGCCTGCATACTCACCAGACATGTCACCCAATGAGCATATTTGGGATGCTCAGGATCGACATGTACGACAGCGTGTTCCATTTCCTGCCAATATCCAGCAACTTCGCACAGCCATTGAAGAAGAGTGGGACAACATTCCACAGGCCACAATCAACAGCCTGATCAAGTCTATGCAAAGGAGATGTGTCGCGCTGCATGAGGTCACACCAGATACTGACTGGTTTTCTGATCCACACCCCTACCCTTCCTTTTTTACAGTATCTGTGACCAACAGATGCATATCTTTATTCCCAGTCTCGTGAAATCCATAGATTAGGGCCTAATTTCCTTATTTCAATTGTCTGATTTCCTTATATAAACTGTAACTGAGTAAAATCTTTGAAATTGTTGCATGTTCCGTTTATATTTTTGTTTAGTATAATATCATAGACAGGGCCATAGCCAAGGTCTTGAGTTTTAGTGAATTCCAGAGAAAGTTGAAGCTCATTTTCTGTATTTCTATACAATTTAAAAACTCTAAAATGCTATTTGGAGAACAGCAAAAACAGGCAAAAATGACCCCATACAGTGGCTTGCGAAAATATTCACCCCACTTGGCATTTTTCCTATTTTGTTGCCTTACAACCTGGAATTAAAATGGACTTTTTGGGGGTTTGTATCATTTGATTTACACAACATGCCTACCACTTTGAAGATGTAAAATATTTTTTCTTGTGAAACAAACTTGAGTGCGCATAACTATTCATCCCCCCTAAGTCAATACTTTGTAGAGCCATCTTTTGCAGCAATTACAGCTGCAAGCCTCTTGGTGTATGTCTCTATAAGCTTGGCACATCTAGCCACTGCGATTTTTGCCCATTCTTCAAGGCAAAACTGCTCCAGCTCTTTCAAGTTGGATGGGTTCCGCTGGTTTACAGCAATCTTTAAATCATACCACAGATTCTCAATTGGATTGAGGTCTGGGCTTTGACTAGACCATTCCAAGACATTTAAATGTTTCCCCTTAAACCACTCAAGTTTTGCTTTAGCAGAATGCTTAGGGTCATTGTCCTGCTGGAAGGTCAACCTCCGTCCCAGTCTCAAATCTCTGGAAGACTGAAACAGTTTTCCCTCAAGAATTTCCATGTACAGTGAGGGAAAAAAGTATTTGATCCCCTGCTGATTTTGTACGTTTGCGCACTGACAAAGAAATGATCAGTCTATAATTTTAATGGTAGGTTTATTTGAACTGTGAGAGACAGAATAACAACAAAAAAATCCAGAAAAACGCATGTCAAAAATGTTATAAATTGATTTGCATTTTAATGTGGGAAATAAGTATTTGACCCCCTCTCAATCAGAAAGATTTCTGGCTCCCAGGTGTCTTTTATACAGGTAACGAGCTGAGATTAGGAGCACATTCTTAAAGAGAGTGCTCCTAATATCAGCTTGTTACCTGTATAAAAGACACCTGTCCACAGAAGCAATCAATCAATCAGATTCCAAACTCTCCACCATGGCCAAGACCAAAGAGCTCTCCAAGGATGTCAGGGACAAGATTTTAGACCTACACAAGGCTGGAATGGGCTACAAGACCATCGCCAAGCAGCTTAGTGAGAAGGTGACAACAGTTGGTGCGATTATTCGCAAATGGAAGAAACACAAAATAACTGTCAATCTCCCTCAGCCTGGGGCTCCATGCTGAGTCCCTACGCTGTGAAGGACTGAAATCCTGCAGCGCCCGCAAGGTCCCCCTGCTCAAGAAAGCACATATACAGGCCCATCTGAAGTTTGCCAATGAACATCTGAATGTTTCAGAGGAGAACTGGGTGAAAGTGTTGTGGTCAGATGAGACCAAAATGGAGGTCTTTGGCATCAACTCAACTCGCCGTGTTTGGAGGAGGAGGAATGCTGCCTATGACCCCAAGAACACCATCCCCACCGTCAAACATGGAGGTGGAAACATTATGCTTTGGGGGTGTTTTTCTGCTAAGGGGACAGGACAACTTCACCGCATCAAAGGGATGATGGACGGCGCCATGTACCGTAAAATATTGGGTGAGAACCTCCTTCCCTCAGCCAGGGCATTGAAAATGGGTCATGGATGGGTATTCCAGCATGACAATGACCCAAAACACAAGGCCAAGGCAACAAAGGAGAGGCTCAAGAAGAAGCACATTAAGGTCCTGGAGTGGCCTAGCCAGACCTTAATCCCATAGAAAATCTGTGGAGAAAGCTGAAGGTTCGAGTTGCCAAATGTTAGGCTCGAAACCTTAATGACTTGGAGAAGATCTGCAAAGAGGAGTGGGACAAAATCCCTCCTGAGATGTGTGAAAACCTGGTGGCCAACTACAAGAAAAGCCTGACCTCTGTGATTGCCAACAAGGGTTTTGCCACCAAGTACTAAGTCATGTTTTGCAGAGGGGTCAAATACTTATTTCCCTCATTAAAATGCAAATCAATTTATAACATTTTTGACATGCGTTTTTCTGGATTTTTCTGTTGTTATTCTGTCTCTCACTGTTCAAATAAACCTACCATTAAAATTATAGACTGATCATGTCTTTGTCAGTGGGCAAACGTACAAAATCAGCAGGGGATCAAATACTTTTTTCCCTCACTGTATTTAGCGCCATCCATCATTCCTTCAATTCTGACCAGTTTCCCAGTCCCTGCCGATGAAAAACATCTCCACAGCATGATGCTGCCACCACCATGCTTCACTGTGGGGATGGTGTTCTCGGGGGTGATGAGAGGTGTTAGGTTTGCTCCAGACATT